GGGTTTAGATTGGATATTAGGAAAAACTTCTTCACTGAGAGAGTGGTCAGGCATTAGAATAGGCTGCCCAGGGAAGTGGTGGAGTCACCATCCCTAGAGGAGCTCAAGGAACATGTGGACATGGTGAATGAGAACATGATCTAGTGAGTATGGTAGTGTTGGGCTGACGGTTGGACTAGATGATCTTATAGGTCTTTTCCAAATAATGATTCTGTGATTACAGTGAGAGTCTATGAATGTTACAAAAAATTCAGGGAAGACACATTTGATCAAAAAGAATACAACTGACTGTTCTTACCCAAGACAGATAAATTTAGTGACATTCCTTCATTGGTGAGATTTTTGGGAAAAATGTAATTAAACAAATGGGTTAGGGAGGTGTGGAACATTAGTTTTGTTAATGTTTTGTATTATTGACAATTATAGTCCACGTAATTATTGGATGAGTATATAAGCTATCAATGGGTAGAGAATGGGCTAAGCTATGGACAAAACGAATTTAGAGTGCGTATCAGTAAGGGAGATATTGTGCCACGTTTCAGGCTATAGCTGTTTTAGTTATCAGCACTGATGCAAATCTTGATTGCTAGCATATGGCTTAATAATCTTATCCCAGAAAAGGATTTTGGTTCAGTAACTCTCTGCCTATGGACAGATAAGAAGGACTGATACTTTTTATTATGTATGTTAGTTGTGCCTCCAGACTCAAGAATCTCTTTCCAGTGTGTCCTAAAGGAGATATTTGGCAGCAGCAGTTGTGACTTGGATTTTATTGGGACATTTAAAAAATTTGTAGGCATTTTCAATAGACTACTGTGTAGACTACACTCTACACAGTAAGAGGCAGTGCACTGATGAGATGTTACTGTAGCATAGTTTTCTCATTAGGACTACAGGAGTTGCAGCATGACTTTTGCAGACCAATGCTGTCCCAGTGCCAGCGACACAATATATAGTTTGTCTCTTTGGATGTCAAACAGAGCTTTTCAATCCTGGCTTGACAGAAACTGTTCCCCACCCTGCGGTGACTTCATTCTTCCACTTTTGTTGGCTACCCTGATACACAGCTTTTTGGGTGGTGTGTAAAGTTGGATGCAGGGAAGAATGGCTAAATCTCCAAGTCATCAGGGACTGTACCCTAGAGTCACAAGAAATACTCCCCTTACTTCATTTCTCATAGGTAGAGGGTTACACTATGTTTCAGAAGAACAGAAAATTATAACATTATAAAATCAGAAAATTATAAGGAATTACTTCCATGTAATTTGCAGACCTACACAGATAATAATTTTGTAAATTGTGCTTCATGACAGAATTGTTTAAATCTGTACGTTTATCTTTCTTATTTTTAATTAAATTGCCTCTGCCTGACACTTTTATTTTAGTTGTATTAACACCATAGAGTTTGAGGTTTCTAAAGTCTATCTTTAGCAAAACAATTTAGGTAGTAATCTCTTCTACAAATAATTAAGTGGCTTATGTGAGCTGAGAATATTTATATTTGTAAAATATTATTGGTCCAGTCCTTTCCTAATTAGGCATAAGAGCTAAGCTTGTCAGTTTCAGAGAAAATTGGCATGTTTTTAGAATTTGGGAAGTAGGGTGAATTTTAATAAGCAAGCTGATGTTAGTCTGATATCAAAAGATCAGTAAGGCATGTTCTCATCTGTGTGGAGAGTTAGGGGTCATCTCATCCCTTGCCATCTCTGGCAGCAATTGTTCTATGCGTTTGACATGGTATTCCTATAAGTCAAGCTCAGCTTTTCTAGCTTAAATATGTTAAAAGATTGAGAATTCTGTCACAGGTTTTTGCAAATACAGCTTTATTTTACACTGTGGCATAATTTTTTCCTTTTTTTTTTTTCCACTCTCTTTCATACTGTCATTCTAGAGAAAAAAAAAAAGATGGTTGTATGCATGTTCTATTTACTTTAAAGTTATACCTTGCCTGCAATTGTAACTTATTTGTAATTAGTTATATTGAGTATGAATATTTTTAATTGCCAGATCATAATATTCTTTTATCATTGCAATATGCTAAAGCAGAGTAGGGTTTGGTTTTTTTTTTTACTTGTTTTATCGTGTTCTGGTGACATTCCCCAATAATACATTGGAGGAGAACTATAAAATAAAATAAACAGAACCATACAATAAGTGAGAAAAGAAAACAGGTTAAGAGAAAGGACAGTTTAATATATGGCTAGAAGTCATATCTGCATTCCATGATAGGGAGTGAAAGGATGTGGAGGTAAAGAAACCACCTACATGTTTTAGATAACAATATGTGCTCCTTCCCATAAGGTGTGCAAACCAGTAAGATAAAAGATAGCTTGAAAAAAGAAACCTGAAAGTTTCCTGCAATTATCTTTGAATATTTACTCTGCTGCCTCTATCCATGGTTTTACGAATGAATGCTTTTAGGGCAGGGGTATCCAGAGGGGAAAAAATAGCAGAGCTCCTAATTTAGCAATAGTGCCAGCTTTAAAGTATTTGTGGAAATATAATCTTAAAATATGAATTAGCTAATATGTTTATATGTATAATTCAAGAAAGAGGATACTGTGGGTACACAAAATTAATTTTTAATTTATTAAAGCCAATCAGGCAACAGTAATCAAAAGGAGTAAATGAAAATTGCAAACTCAAACCATAAAAGGTTCTGCAGAATTAATTACAATAAATAAGAAAGTTTCAGTCCATGAACTAGATCTTCGACAGTAGTTTTTCTTTTACATAAATCAGAGTTTTAGGCTAAAAACCTCTTGAACTAGCATACAATTATGTGAATTTTATTTTGCTCCCATATCTCACTCTTTATAGAATGTTGCAGGAAGAAATTGATCCATTTCTATTTCTAATTCTTAATATATTTTTGTACACTGACTTTCATTATTTACATTTTAATTCAAGCAAATTTACATTACTGTGAAGCATACTGGGAAATGATGATTTGAGAGCAGAGCAGAACAGCAATCTGTTGTATTTCCCCTTTGTTTCTTTTGTGTTAATCTTGAAATCAAGCTACTGATACTGTGTAGATTATTTTGTTGTGAAGGTGCTTTGTAAGGATGCTCTAGATAAAGATGTTCGTGTACATAAACATGAAAAAATATTTAGAAAGTTGTAACTCTTAAAAGGACGTTAGAATTCTAATGAGGTAGGTCTGAGATTTCAGAGCAGTGCAGTAGCCTAAGAAAGCAAAGAGTGATCCTTATTGATGTCTAAGTGCAGGGTTATTGAATAGTACCAAGAAGTTATTTTCAACTTGCAGAGCAATGGCCAGGCTGCAGCATACTGTCTAATTTTGTTAGCTGGCCTTCAGAATGGATATTGATAAATATGAAAGGGTTCTCAGAAAGAAATACACTGATTCAAGGCCAGAAAAATCTGCTTTACAGTAAGAGATTAAAAAACATAATTCAATTTATAAAATGAAGGAAATTTAAAAAGCTGGTCATGACACATTTAATAGGCATTTCTATATGGAAAAAGTGTTTACTTTTAAAAAAAAAAACCATGTGGCTGGATAATTCAGATTGGAAATAAAGTCTGGTGTTTGCTGAAAGATAGGCTGACTACTGTAATAATTTATTCTTGGGGGATATGGTAGTTTATCCATCAGTACGTCTTAATTTCGTCAAGATTACACATATTCTTGAAAACTGTGGATTATCTCCCTTTCAGTTTTTTAATATTTTGCATGTGTGGCATACAAGGTTTATTGTGGATTCAGTGACCCAGTTGAAGATGTGGTCTGGTACATAGTAAACATACTAGGATGAGTAAGGCTGAATAGAGCCATCGGCA